ATACGTTTTGTGTGCATGTACATACGCAGTGACTGGCTGGCAAATGGACCCTATTCATTTCTACATGCCATCTATATGTTTTGCGACGTGTACATACGCAGTGACTGGATGGCAATTGGACACTATTCATTTCTATAGGCCATCTATATGTTTTGTGTGCATGTACATACGCCGTGACTGGCTGGCAAATGGACCCTATTCATTTCTACAGGCCATCTATATGTTTTGCGACGTGTACATAGGCAGTGACTGGCTGGCAAATTAACTGTTTTCATTTTTATAGGCTATTTATACGTTTTGAGTGCGTGTACGTGTGTGTGCGTGTTTGACTGGCTGGCAAATGGACACTATTCATTTCTATAGGCCATCTATACGTTTTGTGTGCATGTACATACGCAGTGACTGGCTGGCAAATGGACCCTATTCATTTCTATAGGCCATCTATACGTTTTGTGTGCATGTACATACGCAGTGACTGGCTGGCAAATGGACCCTATTCATTTCTATCGGTCATTTACATGTTTTGTGTGCATGTACATACGCAGTGACTGGCTGGCAAATGGACCCTATTCATTTCTATTGGCCATCTATATGTTTAGCGACGTGTACATACGCAGTGACTGGCTGGCAAATTAACTGTATTCATTTCTATAGGCCATCTATACGTTTTGTGTGCATGTACATACGCAGTGACTGGCTGGCAAATGGACCCTATTCATTTCTATAGGCCATCTATACGTTTTGTGTGCATGTGCATACGCAGTGACTGGCTGGCAAATGGACCTTATTCATTTCTATATGCTATCTATATGTTTTGCGACGTGTACATACGGCGTGACTGGCTGGCAAATGGACACTATTCATTTCTATAGGCCATCTATATGTTTTGCGTCGTGTACATACGCAGTGACTGGCTGGCAAATGGACACTATTAATTTATATAGGCCATCTATACGTTTTGTGTGCATGTACATACGCAGTGACTGGCTGGCAAATGGACCCTATTCATTTCTATAGGCCATCTATATGTTTTGCAACGTGTTCATGCGCTATGACTGGCTGGCAAATTAACTGTATTCATTTCTATAGGCCATCTATACGTTTTGCGACGTGTACATACGCCGTGACTGGCTGTCAAATGAACCCTATTCATGTCATTCACCTATACCTTTTTCACACAATAGCATTTTATGAATATTGTCTTTAGCCAGCCCAAGCCAGCAGACATCAGGGTTGAACTCTTATAGACTGTGCTCTATCATGCGCGATTCAGTCGCTTAAATGAGAACCCCACATCAGGACAACTGTATAAACTACAGCATCCGATCATATCCGGCTGCACTTCCCTCAATCGTCATATCATACTACTTTGAATTTGTATATGTTCTCTTAAATGCACCATAGAGGTCGTTATTTTGGACACTGCTGAGTTGAAATATAGGAAAAAGGGTTTATTCACTGGATTTTATTTTCACTGAATCATTCCTTCAGCGAAAATATTTTTTTAGAGTATATTGCAATACTATATTTGTTTTTAGTAAATTAAAATTAAAAATAAACTAATACAAGTTACTGTTTGCTTGATCTGATTGGCAGATAATTCTGTATGGCTTCACTAATGTCGGCAACATTACTTGTAACGCTAATTTCAAATACTGAAGATCGTTTATTTTACAGAAGAGAGCCACGGGCCGAAACGTCCGCTCTGGTCGAAACTCTTGGCCGAACGTCCGACATTCGTTGAAATGTGGGTGGACGCCTCAGGTCACGGCAAGGAAAAGTACGTGAATGTCGGCGTCTGGTTGGATAATAAAAATAACTGTGAGCTAAATACAGCAAAAAGAGAGTGTTTCGAGTTATCATGTTTGTTATAATTACGACATCATATTAAAGAAAACGTGGTCGAAAAATATTAACAGCCATCTTATTACGCAAATTATATTGCAAGATAAGTTCACAGAAATGTGAAGTCAACACCAATCACAATTCAGAAATATTTAGACAGCGTAATTAAAGACGTACTGCGCAATTTCCTGTTTGGCCGACACATCGGTTTTCGCGTCACGTCATTGTATGGTCTGTACAAAACGTTATTCAGATTCTCAAAACATTTGAAACACTTATTCGACGTTTCTCCCTCTTTCTCTTTCTCTCTCGGTGAAGATGAGCTGGTCCGGAATCTAGTTCTTTAAAAAGTGTTAGTACTGTGCCAGGTTTAATTGTTCGGCAATTGTCTTTAAATCCAAGCTGTTCTTTTACAAATGAGGACAGATATTCGGCGTAAGAATCTGCGGTATGACGGTATAAGGAGAATGTCCATCTCAACGGCCATTTCTCATTCATTTTACGGCTTTCGTCTACTGATGTAACCGTGACACCTTCGGATCATTTGGAAACGCATCCATTCTCACACTATTACTATACGCATTGCCAAGCCCGCCAAAAATACGTTTCAAAAAAAGCGCCGACCGAAAAATACCAGTATATATCGTTAACAGTTGTGTATGGCTTCCTCTGATATTTTTGCCGTTTGGTGTCGCCTTTTTTACTTCGGCTTGAGCCAGAAACAGTTTCAGGATAGGTCAACGTGGCTACAACACGGGAAATATCTAAAATTCACTCGGACACGAGTAATCATTTTCAACCAAAAATCATTATCTGTCTATTTCAGTGGGACAAAAATCCAAAATGGGAAATATGTGGGTGGCCATTTCACGGGCACTTTAAGTCTTACTTAAAACATTAAAGGTATAATATGAACACACATGCATGCACGACTGAAATACAGTCTGGAGAATTTATAGAAAACCACAATTTATTTTCCACCAAAATATGTGACTGGCTGTTATGGTAAATGTGACAACACAGAGTCTTGTCCCCTGACAGCAACGACGATACATGCAAACGTTTCAGCAATTATTTGAAAACTAATCTATGAATAGTATATAAATTGGACTAATTAAAATCCTCTTGTAATTTATAATTATTTTAATGCAATTCCGGATTCCGGCCGGAATTGCTGAATTCTGCTTTTAAGGGTTTGCCTTTACGGACAGAACAACGCTGTACATAAATGCGTCACAAATTAGAACTTTTTGAAACTTAATGTTAACAAAATGAGGTATTTTAAGCTTAAAGGGTGGAAGTCGTCGCGCTGCGCATGTGCGACATTTGTGTTAATAAACATTGATTTTCCCACAATCCAATGCGCTCTTCTAATGGAAATCACACATGTTTGAAGTTTGACCTGGGCGCGACTTGTCCTAATTACCGCCGGTGACTCCTTCGACACCTTCCTAAAAAATAGCTAATTAAAGCTAGGTAACATCTCAGTTTGTACTCGTTGATCTGCGCAACAGTTAAAGTCGCCATCTTAGTTTATATGCGACCCATATATCTCGCGCATGCGTGGCGCGACGACTACCTCCCTTTAATTGTCATGAATTTTGGGAAAGAGTTCCTTAAGGTCCCCTCATCCATAACCTAACCCAGCCCCCAATGTAATTGCCTATAACAGCGTCCGGATTA